TAAAACAATATTTATTGTTTTACAAAATTTTTTTTTAATGATAAATTACACAATTTATAACTGATAAGCTTTTATATAGGGCTTTAAAGTTAATTATAATAAAAATCCGACAGGAATTATTATCACATTATTTAAATGATATTTATAATTAATATTTAAAAATGAATAAATGATAAAGGACAAAAATGAGATATAAAGCCAAACAACTACTGTTAAGTTTCCGATTTCTTCATTTCTGTTGCTTTTTATATTACATTCAGAAGTACTGAAAGTAGTTTTTTAAGAATATCGTAGTTATTCTCAATTGAATAATACATTTCAATTAGTTACGTCACTATGCTTATATTCTGTCATATGATTAACTTATTGAATAAAATTAACTATCGCTATTGTCAATTAAATGTCAAACCTATTATAAAGCTATAAAGAAATGTTTAGCAAAAGAATTATAAAAACTCCATTAATTAACTTCAGGAGCACACAAATAACATATTTTGAATCAAAATTTCCTATTTCTATTTTGCTTCATCGAATTCTGTAATATCGATGTGATCTTTTTTTATCTTTGTTCAAATTAACTCCCTTAATTTAAAAATATATATCAAAATTAGCTTAATTATAAAAACATGAAATTCAAATAAATTTTTTGGTTTTATATTTAATGATAAATAAGTAAAGACAAAAAATATAAACCATCTACGTCGTAAATTATTTTTTTATATTTGTTACGGAATATCTGCAAAATATGTAGATTCGAATCTTAAAAAACTTCTGTAATTACGGAATTTTATGCGATCATATTAGTATTTCAAAATGATCATTACGAAATATATATACTTAATGATTTATTTTTATTTTGAAAACTTCCTTAACCTGTGACTTTATGTTGTCAATCTATGATTTTCCTTTTATTGTGCCAAATTTTTAATGATTTGCTTAATTTCTTGAAGAAAAATCATTAGAATAACGATATTATTGAGACATGCTCAAACATTACTATTACTGTGATTTTCTAATAATTCAATCACTGCTTGAGATGATTCTAAATAGTTTATCGAAAATTTTACAAAAATATGAAAAACCATAATAAGAATTATGAAAACACTTGAAAAATACTTTATTCATTTTAATATTTATAAAGTTTTGATAAGTCAGCGCAGAAAAGGTGGTTTGGGAAAAAAGTTTTTAACTGAAATGGTAAACTCATTGTTCATTTTTTTACTATTTGAAAAGTTTCTTTCACGTAATAAACAACCTCACTTATCTTAATGACAAGCTCGATTGATCGATTAAAAATACTTTCGTTAATTAAAATTTAATTCCCGACACATTTTCGACATACTTTAACCCATTAATTGAGTAGTTTACAAGTGGTATCAGTTCAGCTAATTAAGTATATATGTTACGCGTCATTTTCAATTATTATATCGACTGTTAATTGACATATGATATCAGGATCTTACAAATAATCGAGATGACCCGTATATATTTTTTATTCAATTATTCCAGTCTTCAATGTTTTACATCAACTAGGTATTTCTTCAAGATATAATATGAATTGTCCCTGGGCACAAATAATAGTCAGCACTTTACGGTATGCCATTTTTCAATTATTCACTGCCTTAAAAATGACTTAGGCGATTCTCAATGCAAACAATAGAGAGGTTTCAGACTTAAGGTTCAGGTTTCTGATTTCGAATTAAATTAGTGACGTATTTATTTTGAAATCAGAGATTTATAAATCCTATTTATTTTTATTTGCAAGCCTATTTATATAATAGATATAATATACATCATTAAAAAAGTTTGTTTATTTTATCTTCGGATAATTCCTTTTTCATTTTCTGATTTCGAAATTTCAAACCAAAAATAGGACTTTTCAAACTCCCATATATTTTCAAAATAAGTTAACTCTGAAACCCCCTAATGAGACTAAATATAATATACCATTGATAATAATACGTAGTTCATTTTATTAATTACCGTTGTCAGACCCGAATTCGGCGAGTCTGTCACTAAACCGAAATTAGGATCGTGTAACCTCAACCTTGGTTACCTTGGATTCGAAAGAGGCGTGTTAGATTTAGTCGAGTGGTATGGTTTTAGTTGGGACAGAACCACAGTTTAACACTGTTGAGGCAGGGTTCGTAACGAAGGTGTATCTTTATATCTTAAACATTAGGTGCGGTTTGCAAAAACGTAGAAGCATATAACTTGTATTAAGAGTAATTAGTCAAGTTTTCGAAGTGTATGGTTTTATTAATAAGGGTAGTATCATGTATCAAAGTAATTATATGGTATGAATGATTTTTTTAATAAAGCAAAGGTGGGAGTTATTCTTCCCAAGGGCCAAAAGGCCTTTATTTTATAATAGCAATTTTGCCTATGAAAACTACCTATTCTACTGTGAATCCCAAAAATACCATTATTATCAAAAACGCCAATAAACCTATAAATGCCCTTATTGACATAAAACCCAAAAATGTCTTTATTGACAAAAATACTATTTCTCCAAGAATTGCCATTTCTACGATTTTTGCCATTTCTACCATTTCTACTATTTCTGCCAGAAATGGCATTTCTGCGATTATTGGTCGGGAATTCCAAATTTAAAAACAACCGGGGTCACGAGGCACATGCCTGCTTCAGGTCATGTTTTTGGTCTCACATTTCTCCCCCACTTGGTGGTGAGTTCTACGAACTATCGTCGGTTATTCTTTCTGTAGCTTCCGGGCTTAACTTTCTAAAGTCGTAAAATTTCGCCTTCCGGGTGTGGTAAATTTGGTCTACACCAAGCTTGCTAAATATGTCAAAAATACGGACCGAGGTTGTGCAATAATATTCCGAGATGAGCTCTCGTGTAACACGCAGTTGTTCCAGAGTCGCAGTAGCATAAAGCATCCCAAGGTGGTATGCATAGTTCAACGCGCGGGCCCGGTGCTTAAGTCGCATGGATTGTTTCATGCTGTGGAAGGTCATTAGTATGCACGTGTGCAAATCGTCGATGGTGGAGTAGGGCGGGGAATGAGAGTGGCGGTTGCGTTTTCAAATGTAGTGTGGCCAGCAAGGAGTTCCGAAAAGGTGAGAGGCATTTCGATTTTTGATTCCTTCCTCTGCGTCGCTTTTGCTTTCTTTTTATTGCTTTCTGGTCGTTCTTCTTTTTTCTACGTTTCTTCTTAGATACCTATTTTCTTCCCAGGACAAATTTTCTCGTCATTGAGAAAAAATTATGTATTTTTTTTTTTTTTTTTTTTAATATTGCCATTTATCTTTACCCCAGTTTTGGTTCGTATTATTAACCTTTCTTAGATTTTCTCCCTTACAAGTCGGTTTGTAATCAGGGGTCTGCTCTACCTCTGGATGATCGTAGTATTTTTTTATCAGCCGTATGTTGATCGGTGCTTCCAGAACTTCCCCACGCATTGTTCGCAACTTGTAGATGTCGTCATGCAGGTGATCATGTACGTAATAAGGGCCTTTTCATTTAGGTTCCAATTTCCTACTCTTATAACCGTCCTTTGCAGCATCATACAATAAGACTTTATCTTTTATAAACAATGCTGGGAGTGGGCGTAGCTTCTTATCGAACCTCTCTTTTCTTTTGAGTTGAACGTGGTGGACTCGTACTACTGCGTCGTTTTGGACTTGGGGTAGATGCTCCAATAGGGTTGCTGTTCTTTCCATCAATGTTTCAAGCTCTTCCACACCGTTTGGCTAAATAGGTTGGCGGGCTTCTCAACCATGTGTGAGAAAAAATGGCATAAGCCTGATCACTGAGTGCTTGGAGGTGCGGTATGCAAATAATATGGTGGGAATTATCAGATCCCACTCGTGGACGTACTCAACGGACTTGGCTATGGCTTCACACAGTATCTTCATCAGCAAAAATAAATAGGTGTAAACTCTACAAGTTTTTACGCGAGCGTAAACTTACGAAAATTTACGATTAGTTCAGAGTATTACGTAGGTGTAATAATTACGAAA